GAAAATATGATAAAAAATAAACAGTTTATTATGAAGACAAAACAACAGGATGCATTTCCATAAATTTGAAGGTGACAAAATCTCTTTGAAATTTAGATCCTCTTATTTGTTTATTGCGCATATATTTACTGCTCCCAGTTACAAGTTCTGGATTATCTCCTATATCTATGCAAAGCAAAGTCCAATTAATTAATTTATCCATCAGTCACCTCCACTGTGTTGTTTTTTGGGGTGTGTCTGCATGCGTTTTTACACCAACATCAAAGCAGAACTAGTTAGGCAGGAATAGCCTTTCTTTGGAGGAGAAAAAAAAAAAAGAAAATTGGTTGTTCAGATATTCAGACATTGAATCATTTAAGCTGGAAAGACATTTCAGAGCCACGAGTGGATAGGATTTGGGATGTAAAGCTTACCTCCTCCCATCTCCCTCTGCTTAACTTCCTAGTCAAGAAGATATTAGTCTTAACAAATCTGCAGGAGTCTGAGTGGACAGAAACCCACCACAAAAAGCAGCAAATCCATCTACTGTTAATATCTCCATAGTTAACTATGAAGTGTGCCCAAATTTAGGTGTTCCAAAGCCAAAAACTCATGTATCCAAAGAGCTTTAAAGCTCCACCTTCTCTTCTTAGGCATTCCTGAAAGTTTCTCTCCTCTATTTAATATGTTTGTGTACAAAGACAAGAATCTTTAAGCGGAATTGTTATTCTCTGATGAAGGATTCAGTGTGCTTTCACAGGAGTTCTGAAAGTTCAGTTACTTCAAGGAAAACACAGGCAGTTTCCTCCTGACAAGGAATATTGCAACAAGGAATATGCTTCTGCATATCAGCTTCTATCAGTGGAATGCTGGTCCACTGGAATGAAAGACAAAGGGTCCTGAGTGATTCTATAGCTATACTTCTTTAAAAGTATACTTATTGAAATAAGATTTAAAAAAAGAAAATACTGATGTATTAACGAAACAAGATGTTCAGGAGGACAATGTTTTGTTTTGAGCTGACAAGGAGAGAGGATATTACTCTCGGAAAAGTTCAGAGTAAGCGACACTGAGTTCAAATGCATGCTCCGAAAAGGAGTCTCAGTGCTTTTGTGTTTTAGCCCATTGCCTCCAGAAAAGGCACAATAGAAAAGGGAAGAGAATCTCAATGACTTTCCTCAAGCCAAGAAAACTTTTACAGGAAGTTGGGTCTGCTGACTGTGCCACAGGCCTGAGATATCCCCACTTGCTTGTTTGATTTGATTTCCGTTTTTTTTTTCTGAGGAGGATCTGGAACTACAGCAGGGCTCCCTGGAGAGGAACTCATTTGTTTATTTGCTCAACTTTATTTGAAGACTTTGGTTTTAAGGTCCAGATTAGATCCAAGAATGGATTTGATTGGGTAAGAGAGGGACACTTCAAACAGTATTGTGCAGCTATACTTAGACTGTTACTGAACTACTGGGGAGGAAAGGGTGCTAAGACAAAGAAACATACTCTGTAGACGAACAGAAGTTTTCTTTTTTTTTTTTTTTAATTATCCATAGTTGTGACTTCCAGCATACATGCGTCTCCTCCATTTGTACACAGGAACACCTGCAAAACACATCAGAGTTGATTGGAGCCCCAGGACAGAAAGTTACATTTGGTATATGGATCTCTGTGTGAACAAAAAAAATAAATCAGGGAAACACCCAGTTTTGCTTGAACATAATGGTTTGGATTGTAGTTAAGAGGCTTAGCCTTTCTCACTTGTCGGGAGGAATGAGTTGTTCTGCTGGTTTTTTGGCATTCTAACACAAATGCCTCCTGGGGCCTAAAAAATATTTCCTGTAGTAACAAGTATCTGATGGGTTGGTTCAACGGATGTAGCTTGAACTTGGCACTTGCTGGCAGATCTAGCGCATGCTTTGAAGAAATCGGACTTGGGACCATATACCTATCACCCAGCAGGATGCCTTTTCTGTTGTGGACCCCGTGTAAATCTGAGCCTGCTTACAAAGAACATAACTTGCAGAAGAGATTCCACTCCCCAGGAGAAGAAAATTGAAGGAAATATTCCTTGAGTTCTTTCTATCCTGAAATGTTCAGATTACTGATAAAGCTATCAACTGCTGTGATGGTTTGCGTAATATAAACACCTGCCTTCTGCAATGACACAAGCAAAGCCATAGACGTTTGGCCACTGTACAGCTGGAAACTACCTTTCAGCACTGCAGAACCAGACTAGTTGCAAGCAAGTAAACTATAGCTGAAAGATAGAATAATCCTGTTCGGCTCTGACAGCCATCCAATCCTCTGGATGCATATATGTTTTTAAATGGTCACTTTAACTCTGCATTAAAGTTTGCTTGAAGCCAAGAGCTCACTGCCCCAAGAAAACTGCATTCCTTTCGGTTAATATTTCACTTGACAGGAATCCTTTCTGGCTGGAGATCGACTGCAAAACCTGCAAGCAGATTTTCTATCTCATTGTTTCCAGAAACAAGAATTTTTCAAACCCTCTCAAACACTGCTGAATCAAAACATACACTCCCCAATTCTGTGCCTTCTAATTTAAATCCATAACTCCAAACTGACTAATTTATCTAAGAATAACATGTTTCTTTACATCATTTACATATATTTAACTACAATACATGAATTTTAATCACAGATTGGATTCCATAAAACCAAATGGTTTCAGAGGTCCCACATAAAGATCATGAGAGTTATCTAGTCTCAAGGGGACAGCTGGGACAACAGATCCCTTTCTTCTCCATTTGGTCCTGTCTGGCCTCACTGTGTCAAGTTCCATGTCGAGAAATGCGTCTTCCTGCTACACTTATTGTTATCTCCCCTGAGTAACATGCAAGACAAACATAATATGCAACAAAAATATCACATGCCAGTGTAGTACACAATTCCTGCCCTCCAATCTGTTAGTCATTAACAAAGATGTGTGTCTTTCTTCTGAAATCTTTTATAGGAGTGACCACTGTTTATATTATACGTGAGTTACTGTAGGCCACGGAAGAGGATTTGGGTTTCTACTTTCACTTTTTATTTCGTCTCCCTGGAGCCTTCTATAAGGAAGTGCACCAGAGATTTGCAAATTAAGGTGAGAACAGGAAGACTGGAAAATAAAGAACAATTGAGTCAGAAAAGCTGGTAAGGAAATCAAACTAGTAATATCAATAGAACCTATGAATCACAGAAGAATTATAGACTGGATGTTGAGAAGTGGAGTTTGCTTTTAATCATTTTGTAAAATGCTTACTTATGAGTCTTCTCACAGCAAATCTTTTTTGAAAAATGTGTACAGTGAAGATTAACAAGTTGTCTGCTTCAATGTCTTTCTAGGCTAAGTACCTTTCTCTTACAAAATTCCAGTCCAACTCTTTATTCAGAACAGAAATACCATTGATCTTCAACTTCCAAAAGAATGCATCATCTGTTACCCAGCAGCAACTTTGCAAAAAAAAACTGGAACAAAGTATTATTCCATTTATGAATACACTGATTATAAATTCTGATATACAAATATATACCAGGAATAAAAATTAAAATACTATTGATAGAACTAACTTTAGAACACTTCTTCAAAGCACATCTAATTGCCTGTCTTCTGCAGTTATCACTGATGGAGTTAAGAAGGGAGTCCTGAATCCATATGCAACCAGTGATGTCAGTGCAGCTTGCACCATGCCCTTGTTGTCCTTCTCAAAGACAGACAGGTGATGACTCAGGACATATTCTTTTTTCCTTGCCTACCTCCATTTCCTGAGGAAGCCACAGCCCTTCGTATCACATAGTGTGATAAGCATCAGTCTCATGATTAAAACAAGTCTCTAGGCCAGTAACAAGGGCTGTTAATGTTAGAACTCATAAGCATTCTGGATCACTCATCGAGACTGCTTGTGTGTGCTGTCCTGTTACTGGACTCATGCATACCACACAACAGAAAACATCTGAATTTTCATCAAATACTACGTATGTCTTAAAGAGCAATAAGAGGCCATGTCCCACAATCCTCAAATATCTGTGTAGGAGCTTTGCATTTTCTTCTACCTGAACTATTGGGTAAGGCTGAACTATTCAGTACCTGAACTATTCAGTAAGGCTGCAGAGAAGAACACGCTCATCCAGTCTCAGTGTCACTAGAACAGAAGATGAGAGTGGTTAAATTCCTCCTTCAGTTTCAATCACCGTGTTTCAGGCAGGCAAACAGATTTTATACACTAAACATTGATAACTGAGAACTGCATTGACGGAGACAGTTTCTATCGTATGCACCTTCCAGGATAATGGGCTCAATATTTTCCTTTCCTTGTTTATTTAATGAGAATACTTTTTTTTTCCCACTAGTGACGTAGGCACTTGGTTAATCTTTCAACTCCTGCAGAGGAGACAAGAGCAGAACACTGAAAGAATCGCTGTGAGGTGACTGGACACCATTTACCCACTATGTGTCATATATATATCTCTCATTCTTTCATTACTGCAGTGCAATGATAAAGTGCCTGTCAAGGTCAGAAACACAGTCACAGAAAGAGGTCAAAGGGAGATGGTTTACAATCCAGCACTTAATTAGTTCCTTCTAGTTGAAGGAAAAAAAAGACATCTCTTATAGTTATCTTACTTCATTTAATAAAAAAAAAAACAAACATTCCAGTGTGTCCAGTGACACAGAACAAGTACCAGAAGCACAAGTACCACCTCAGCACAGGTGAGGAACTTAGAGGTATCCCACTTGTCAAGTCCTGCCAGACGTGTGTGTGTGTTTGTAAATTAAATCTTTGAGGCTCAATCCAAAGCTAGCTGAAAAACTTATTCCCATTAATTGAAATCAGTTTGGAATTAAGACTTACCTTAAAAATATTGTAAATCATTTAGGATAATGTTCCCTACTCCCTCTTTTGATTGCATTGTGTTGTGAGAAATGCTCTGTGTCTTTTAAAATATTGTACTGTATTTATTCAAAGCAAGGCATGTACTGAAGAGAAAAAGCCTATTTATTGAAAGGTGCATCTTCTCTTCTTACAAAATATACACCAGTGGTAATTAGTTCCCAAAGTGAGCAGAGTTTTAACAATGCTTAAGAGAACAGACATCAGGACAGAAAATACTAGTAGACAACAACCAGTGTATGGGAACAGTCGAGTCACAGCCTGAAGTACTGATTGAGCACCTGGGGAAAGGACCCGGTCAGCCCTGGGAGCACAGGTGAAGGCAATTCAGGTGTGCCACCAGTAGAACCTAGCTGCAACTTTCTATGACCTTATTTAAGGGCTGACTGCCCCTAGGGAATGATCTTTTTCTGGAGATCTCTTCTTTTCCCTGCAAACCTAAAATCTTCTGATATGGGTGAGCAATCTTCTTTTTCCATTATTTTATAGCACCTTTCTTTCATTTTGGTCCATCTATTATCACACCTCTGTTGTAACATCTTTCACATTGTACTGATCTGCTACAGTCCAAACTGAATGAAGGTATTTTTTTATTGTTATATAATGAAAACTAATGTAAGTTAGAACGTGTATTTTACTATTTGCCTAAGCCTGCCATTATCTTAAAATGCATGCACTAGACGCTCCAGAGCAGGGCCGTCCCTGGGGGTGTTTAGAGGCCCTGTTCCTAGCCACCCCTGTGACAATACCGAGCAGCAGCTGGCTGACTGATGGCCCCTGTCTCTGAGGAAGGCTGACAGCAGCCTTCCTTAGCCCCAGTGTTGAAGCGATCATATTTGTGTTCAAGAGGAGCAAGTCCCAAATTTCTCACAGTTTCTCATTAGTGGTAATCAATTCAGTGCATTTATTCTGACTTAAGCCAGAGATTTATGATTTACAAGGGAGGGCAGCAGTTGACTGACTTCATTATCCAACTTTCCTAACATTTTAGTAGTCTTTGGAGTTCTGCAGATATACTCAGTTACAGGAATAATCCTATGAAACAGCAAAGTGTTATTTGGTAAATGCCTTTTCAGGTGTTTGTCTACAGAGGAGTTGTGTGAATTACACTGTTTAGGCATTATTAACTCTACTGTTTGCAGCCACATCTGTGTGGAGTGATCTAGATGAAAACAAATGCAAACAAGCAGAGTATAAGCACGTCTGATGTGAGCAATGTGGCGTTTATGCTATTCACACACATACCAAACAAGTATTTGCTGTTTACCCTTTTGCTGCATGTACTATACAGCTGTCTTGGCATGTACTGACGTGTCAAACCCTTGTGTAAAACATCAAAGGCAGACTTTCCTGCATGTGTATGGGGCATTGGACCCATGCAAAGCAAAACAATAAATTGCTCTTCTGATTTGTTTACATCGCCACCCTGACTTGATAGTGCTTCAGTTCCTCTCCTGCTTGTTTTACAAAGGAAAGAAAAACAACTGAGAAAGCAGCAAGGAACAGGGATGTGCATGTACACTACTTTCCTGTTTCATTTAGCTTGAAATAATTTTGTCTTTAGGAATTAAGATATGAAGTTCAGAACAAAGGATCATGTACATAAAGTTTTTGTGTGGTCTAATCATCTAGAGCAGGCAGTAGATTCCTATTGCAACTTGCTTGTCACATGGATGTGAAAACTTTAATTGCAGTTATTTTGCTTCATGTTAGCCAGTCTGAAACATCTGAATACTAGCTGATATAAACATTCACAACTGGAATTATGTGAAATTTGTTCACATATTTCACTATGTGCTATGGAATACTTGGAACACTTCAGCATTTGAAGGACCAGGAGTCAGGTCACAAAACCTGCATGTGGTCGTTCAAAACTAGCACTTGATCAATTCCATGAAAGGATTGTATCTCAAATATACTTCTATAATGGCTGCTTCTGAAATATATTTTCCCTTTGAACTGATTCGCGTGACCTTTATACAAGGCTACTAAGTGGGAACAGTGGGTCATCTGAACAAGGACTCCTGCATGGCCAATTACCCACTGAGCTAGGCAGGCACATAGGTACACACGGGATGGAAACAGGCAATTGCAAGAACCAGACACTTCTGAGAAGCAGGTAAAAACAGAGGTGGGGCTGAAATGAGCTTTAGAAAAAAAAAAAAAAAAATTAAGTGGATGAAAGGACAAACAAAAAAAAAAAGGTTTTGTACATTTTCAGGGTGGAGAAAGCCACATGAAAGGATTAAAAAATCCAATATGGTCACTTAATTTTACAAATAAAAGTTTATGAACCTGATAAAGTTGTGAAGGATCTAGTTTTAAATAGCAAGTAAAGAGTATGGATATATGAAAAAAAGTGGAAATGTTTCCTACTTGAGTCAGTCAGATTTTGTATTGGACAACGGCGTAAGAACTTATATTAATTTCATAAAAGAGGTTGTGAATTTCATTTGTTGCTCATTTATTAAAGCAGCCTCAATATTTTATATAGGCAAATACAAATGAGCAAACATAAATTTGAGAACTGGGTAAACATCCTAATGACAGCTTTAATAGGCTGGAAAGGCAAAGCGAAACTTTAAATACAAATTAACTCAGGTGAGAGGGAGTTGATATTTCAATTCTGGGAATTTGATATTGAATTCAGTGTAAGGAAGAAAAATATTTTTCATACATTACTGGAAGAAGTATCTAGCTGCCAAAAGATTTGTTTAATCCTTTGAAGGGGATATAGCAACTTCCTTAGGAGCAAAAACATAAATTAGAGTTTGTGTTGGTTGCAGTTTCAAAAAAGCCAGGGCATCTCACCACACCTGGTGACATGCACAGAAATCAGTGCTCAGCACTCCTGGCACAGCAGGAGTTGCAGCAGGTTGGTGCAGAGCAGCTCTTTCAGGCAGATGTGTTTTGTTCAGCTTCTGGTCTAGGCTAGTGAGGTGTAAATCTGCTGCTCAGAAGAGTGCAGCGGCTCTAGCCTAGTACTCTGCCTATGCTGTTATGCACTGACTAGACTAAAGAGGATAATTGTTTTCATGGAAATGTTCCGTTACTGCAAACTCAGCAAAGCTCTGTAACTCAAAGAGGATACCCTCTTGGGAAGGTAAAGCAGGATCTAGCTTTGGCCAAGAAAGGTGTCTTAACAGCCATGCATCTGTTCCTTCATTGGAGGAGCAGTGCTGATGGCCATTTTCCATATCCTAGTAAAGGCACCTGCAGTCCTGGTTTGTTTCTGATGAAAGCTGAGTTCACAATGTCTCTACTACCTCTCTTGGTGGCAGAGAGGGCAGAGACAGCAGCACAGTCAAAGCACTTGGCAAGACTGTGTGGGTCCCACAAAGAAGGGCTGAGTCTGATAGTGGAGAAAGTAATTTAGGAGATGGTACTGGGGACAGATAGGTAGTACTGCAATTACAAAATTTACATTGAATCATACTTCTGGGAGAAGGACCAAAATAAGAACTTTAGAAACATGATCTTTCGTACTGATATGAGTTGGTATTTCAGCCTAACAAATCTTTGTGGAGGGTACAAAGAAGTTTGAACAGTTGTTCCTTATCCCTCAATAATAAGAAATTATGTATGTGTGTCTAAGACTAGATTCTGATCCTGAAACTGAAAGAGCAATCTCTCCTTAAGCAAAATTCATAATCTAAGATTTTATTATGTCTAATCCTGGCTCTGTCTGCACAGCTGACTCATGGGTTTAGTAAACATGTGGTTCATGTTGGTGTTCACAGTCTCTTTTACCCTGACTTAATCCATCCAAGGGAATTAAATTAAGGGGAAAATATGTGATCCTGCAATTATAAATTACATTATAATCCAGGTAATACTAAAATACTAAAAATGCATTAATGTTGTATAGACAGCTCTAATTCTGACTACTTATAATTTTGAAGTGCTTGATTTTTTTGCTGTCAATTTAATTTCACTTTAACATTCACATGAAACTTCCTGCACTTACAAAAACAAAATCTGCTGGATGAAGATGGATTTTAACCTTTGGAAGTATGATTGTGGCTTATGTGCTTGCAGAGGATCATCAGGAATATCAGGCCTTTAGATCTACTTTTTTAAGCCTTTATTAGTTGAGTTCAAAGAACAGCAGAAAACTAGAGAAGTCTAATTTTCTCCAGTTTGGACCACCTGCTTTTCCAGAGGGTTTCAAAGATGTTTGCTGTGTCTGTAAACCCCTGCACAGACAATCCTGTAAACCCCTGCACTGGGTTCTCCTGTGAATTTTGGGAAGTGAGGTTTCCTTGAGTCACATTCTACTCCTGCTTTGTGCAGTATTATTCCCTTGTTCAAGTCTTGCAAGATGCTTCCTGTCTACAGCCTGTCCCATCAAGTCCTACCCACTGCTTTCTCCCTCTGCTTCATTCTTTTTTGTTCAGGTCAGATTGCCTACCACTTCTTTTATGCTGCCTGGGCATCAGAAGTTGGAAAATGTATAGCTTCTGGCCCAGCACCGCAGGGCCTTACCCTCCTGACAAAAGCTGGAATTGTCAGAGAGCTTCAACACCAGCCTCCAGCTATACTGCAAATAGGCAGATCCATACAAGAGTAACAGTGGTCATTTCTTGTCTGAAGTGGCCGAGCTTCTTCCCTCTTTCCAAGCTTGCTTCAAAATATAGATGGCTGGAGTATCTCAACAGAATGTGAAAGAATTTACTACAAGCAAGACTAAATATTTTCCCCTAACTTTATCTTGGAAATTACTTTTTTCCTCAACAGCTGTGCTCTCTAAAACTTTCATGTCTAACGTGCAGAAGGAAATTTTGGGGGAAAGGTATTTTGTCACTGAGAAGGATTGATGAGCTGGAACCTGTTGCACCTGTTATTTGCCATGATTGCATAACACATTCTTCATCCATCACCCTTAAAGGCCCACTGTGGTTTTGTTCAATAGCTTTTCTTCCTAAAGTTGTAAGACTGGGTGTGACAAATTGTGTTGGTATGATCTGGTACCTTAGAGAATGCTGGCTGCTTCTTGTTGGGAAGTTTTCCTTTCCACTTGCTATGAAACCAGTCTTTTGGCGTTCTTGTAGCTTTTTCTCTATTTGCTTCACCTCAAGTTGTCAGAAATCATTTCCTTCAGTTCACAGAGCATCTAAAACTTAGATTTTTATCTTCATAGCACAGAATTTCTGAACAGATTATACTACTGTAGCTTTGTAAAGTATATTTGACTGTTTTTTTCAATGTTTAGTATGACTTCATTTAATCTCATATAGTCTATATCAACTATTTGTCATTGTTCTCATTGGTATGGCCTTTTCCATTAACTCTTCATAATCAACTGTGAAATGGTGGCCTTGAAATCAAAGGGCAGGAATGGGCCACTTGTGAGTTGTCAGAATATATTAAATCACGTCCAGCCTGCAGTGACAATTATTTGATTGCTAATGTGATATTAATAGTCAACAGCTAGTACAGATATTGATATAAGTTTTATTCCAGTGATACAAGGTATGTGTTTCTGTCTGCTACAAGTAGAGTTATATTAACTTTGAACTGAGAATAAGTGGGAATCTTAAAGTTTCCATTGTGTTCTCTTTCCTGTGTTATTGGAAATTTTGCTCTTGATCTCACATGCCAATATACATATCTTCAAACAGTAGGTTGTCTTTGGTTTTGCAGCATGCATTTGGTATTGCTGACTGGTTACATTCATGGCAAACTCATACTCAGTATTTTTAAGAAGGTCCAATCTGCAGAACCTTAGCCTCGCTAGAAATGTTATCCAGGTAATGTTTGTCTATGCCTGTGAGATCGTCACAGATACAGTGCCTTGGCTTCCTCTTGTCTCAAAGTCTTCTAGTATTGGACTGATTCGCAGACTTTCTTTCTGGAGCTTCTGAGATTTTTTTTTTTCTTCCAAAGTCAGTTGTGTTTGAATTAAAAGCAATTCAAACACCCCCTCATAAGGCTTCTGTTTCTTCTGGTTTAACACTAGAGTTTTCTTTCACCTTTCCAAAAGCTATATTAGTTCAGATCGAAAGTTTGTCTTAGCCTATTATCCTGTCACTGTTTGTGGGGAGTAGCAAATGCCTAAGAAAAATAAAGCAATGGTGCTTTCCTAGAATACCCTTCTATGAACCAGGAGTATTTTAAAGATTTAGTAATTTCCAATTTACTTAGTTTGCTTTTTCATTTTGATCAAATATCTGGAAATATATGTTCTACTTAACTGAGTTTTGGGAGCAACACTTAATTTACTTCCCTTTCTTTTGTTTCAGATGTCCTGCCTGCATGAGGAGGATGCTGTGAAGAGGCATAATCACCAGAAAGTTCAAAGAACATGTATAGAAGTAAGAATGTTTAAGAACTAATGCTTTTATCTTGTCAAACTGTGCACTGAGATTAATCTCCAACTTTTTTATAATTCTATGATGTGTTCAGACTTAATAATGACATTTGAATATACAGTGCAAGCTTGAAGTCTGCTGTAAAAGATAAGTTAGCTATAATGAAAGTAAGAACAATGAAAAAGAGTGTCTAGGAGGTCTCCTTTTCACATGGTAATGTGCAGTAATGACTCAACAAAAGTAATGATGAGAATGACACAGCAAGAGGACCAAGTGGGTATTTTGGTTAGTTCCTACTACAATTAAGGAAACCACAAAACCACATCAATCCCTACTCTGCTGAACCAGAGACACAACAGAAAACAGTGACTTTTGTTTCTAGAACTGCAAACCACAAGAATAAAAGTTTAGTTTAGTATCAGGAATTAACCTGGATTTCTTTCAGAATCCTGTTGACATGTAAAACTAATTTGTTGCTGTGCCATGCTTGGATATGACATGAAGCAAGCCATCCAGGCACTGATGTCATGTGTGCCACGTGAACTGTAAAAATGTATTCCATTTTACACTTTTTCCAGGTGGAGGTTACTTGATTCTTGCAAGAATAAACACATTTTCCAGCCATGTTTTATGTTATACTACAAAGGGAAAAGCTAATTATCTCTATTTAAATGTTAACACTTGATTTTCATTATCAATTCTTTCACAAAATAGACAGTGAGTGATACAAATAGGGGAAAATGATTATTCTATATTCCAGGCATTTCTAAAGTGATCCTGTATAGCTAGGCCTGATGACTACTAACAGTGCTGTTGTGTTGTTGTTTTTGGGTTGTTTTTTTTTTTTTCTTAAGAAGACATGCCATGATCTTCCTGTTATGCTTCTTTCTCAACAGTACTCACATGCAGCAGGTAAAACCAAACAAATATCTGTCCCACTGACCCAGAAGGAGTCCTGAGACCTTTCTGAGCAGTTTCCTCTAAGCCTTCTCAAAGCAGCTATGCAAGATGTTGCAGGGTCCTATAATGTCTCTAGAGCAGGACAGACACTCCGTATCTCGGAATCTATAGAGGACTATAGAGTAAAAGCAGGGCTGACTCATTTAGAAAGTCAGCCCTGCATCAGTATTGGTCACAGTTTCTCCATGTTTAGCTCTGTTGGCTTTTGGGTATGCAACAGTGGAGCTGTGTAAACAGCTGCAGCACAGCCAAGAATCCAGAAACATAGCTGGAAATGTTCTTGGCTTCTGAAAACATCTGAGCCTCACAAGTGTAATTAGATCTTTCTGCAAATGGAAAACTGAAGAATGGCATTTTTCTGTGATACAGATCATAGTCAAACTGCTTGTAGTTTTAAGTGTAGCAGTATTTTAAATCACTCACCGTACACTTTAAGTTGGAAATAACCTGTAAGCTCCTTGGTGTTTGACATCTGTAGCTGTAATGAACTGGCAGAATGGTTAGCATTCTTCCAACCACAAACCATAGATCACATGTTTTTCTCTCATCTGCCTTTGAAAGTAGAGGCTATGCTGAAATCAGCTTATAGGTTATGTATGAGAACAGTAATCTTTTGACCAAATATCTGTCAGGATCTGGGAATGTTTTGCCCGTTTGTGAATATTAATAACTTCATAAGCAGAGAATGTATATGTTGATGCTCCAGGTAGCAGTATGGGGCAAGGTCAATACTTTTTTGGGCACTCAAGATTCAGAGAAGAGAAACATGATGAAAACCAACATTGTTTAGTATAGGTAAATCCAGAAAGACACTGAGGAATACCAGAAAGATTTCATAATGATAGGTGACTGATACTGAAATATCTAGATCCTTCAATCTTTCCAAAGGATCAACAAGTATATGGTACAGTACAATAATTCAACTGTGAGCTTTGTTTATTTAGCAAGGAAATGCTGGCAGTCTGCACAATGATTATGAGCTGTTCTAAAACTGTACTCAAAGCTAGTCCTCCTTTTGGTTGTGATTCTTAGGGAAACAAGTAGGTTTCATATGACAGTCCAGTTATCTTAATACACTCTTGTCTTATACTGTTTTCTATTGGTGAGAAATACTTTGAAATCTTCTGTTAAACATCACTAGAATAGATAATAGTTTAATATATTCATTGTTAAGGAAGAAAGCACTCCTATTATTATATCAGAACTTCACACGGTAAAAATGATCAAAATGTCTTAAACCCTTCTTATCTTTCCCTACAGAAGCATTCAGGTATTCTCTAGTTCAGAAAACATTGTCTTCCAAAGAACAAATATAGTTATGAAATATTAAAAAATAGTTTTTGTAGTGTAAGTGTCTAAATATGTAGGTCACTACAAAAGAAAAGCCTCTTATTTCTGCAGAAACTTCAACAGATAGAAAGAGCACAATAACACTAGCCGATAGAACAAATTCTCAGCTACAAATACTATTTTTCAGTATAGTCACCACCCTTAGTGATGCGTTTGTGCCATTGATGAATAAGAGCCTGCATGCCATGCTTGTAAAAGTCTACATGGCTGTCCAGAATGTAGCTTGTCATTCACATTGCTATTTCCACTACTGAAGCACACCACCCACTGTGTTCACATCCACTGTTTGGTCTTCATAAACATTCAGCAAGCATCAATGAATGTCAGTGGATGCCAATTTTTGCACATGGAGGATTTCGGTTGCACTTCTGCTCAATGTGCACTTCCACGTTGGATGCTGTTTTGTCAGAGTGCCCCTCTGCTGCCATCTGTCACATGGCAACACCATGCAATGGAACATTCACAGACAGGTTCGGCCTTTACTGCCATACATCTGCCTCTGATGTTGTAGGCCAACATAAGAAAATAGGAGGCATTACTTTCAGAGCAGCCCTTGTATATACTATAATTGAATATTGAGCGATAAGTTAAAAAGGAAAGGAAGTCACTCATTTTCTGAGCAATTCTATGGGCAATTTTTGATAAAGGAGTTCTCAGGAAGATCTCTTTATAGGATGTTCTAATTGAGTGTTGCTTTCTACGTTTGAAGTTGTAGTTTATAAATTACTTCTTGCTGTGCACCCTTATACTACTGGTATCAATTGTTGAGTCTTTAGCAGTTAAACTTCTGATATTGCTGTAAGTTCATTATTTACTGAATCTAAAAGTCAGAAAAGAAAAATGTTAATACAGTTAAATGCCACTACCTTTCTAAAGTAAAGCTCTTAAAATATTGATCTAAAAAAATCTTAAAAATGAGACTTAATTTCTGAATTGTGAAGACCTTATGCAGTATTTTTATGAACTCATGTTAGAGGCGTCAGGGGTTTTTGTTTGCAATAAAGCAGAGTTGACAATTTGCTAATACTTATGAGTCTATTTCTGAGCTTTCTTATTAGAAACAGTTCTGTAACTCTGTGAATCGTGCTGTTCAAGAAACAAGTGATAGACATTTAGCTTTCTGAACTGTGCAGCATGTGAGGTGAACCAAGGCACAATAATTGCAATGCTTCCCAGGCCTTTTCATTTGGAGATTTCCAATGCCTGTTGTGGCAGATCTCTGCTTGGCAATCTTCTGTGCCTGCTAGAATAGTTGTCTCTTCTCTCTTCATTGGAAGTGTTTCTTTCCCTTTGCTTCTAGTTTAAGCCTTTCCTTGAGGCTTCACAGTTTTACTGTACCCTTTTGCTAACTGTACCCATAAGCATCTGCTGTACCTGCTTTAAAGAGGAAAATACCTATTTAGAAGTAAGGACTTGAGCATGTCCTTGCTTTAACCTGTAAGATGCTAGACTTCTAGGTGGCTCTTAGATGATAGGAAGGTAATCTGGTGCACCTGTTCCCATCCCTGTTGATGCACCCTACAGAGCTCCTCAGCTGTTGCACCTGGATCTCAGAGGACTCCAGTGTCAAATTTCTCATAACTCTTTCTGCAAAAAGAGAACCAAATGGCAGCTGACTCAGAGCCACAGGATAGGATGTACATGCTATTCCTTCTTCATGATTGCAGCAAGCATAGGTTTTTCAGATCTTCATCTCTTTGCATGCTCTTCCCTCAGTTTCCCTCCTCAGGGACATGGTAGCTGCAAAACCTGTGCAGATTCTAGACAGTTCAGCTAGTGCAGGTCCGAAGACCTTGGTGAAACAATGGAAAGCATATTCCAAATTTTCATGTTCCCATTTTGTTGGTACTCTTGAGTATTTTTTTTTACTTTGGAATTCCACCTTCCTGACTTTGCTTTTTATCTCCTTGTTCTGTTGTGGTTTTGTTTTGTTTTTGACAGCTACAATTGCTGTCTATCATATAAATTACTGGTGCTGCATCTTTTACCCAAAATAATTGGGTGACACTTCCTTCTATAAGCTCTAATTGTTTTTGAAAGCTGACTCTCATCATCTTCATCAGGTGATCCTTTGTCGTCTTAGTCCACTTGGTGGAATCAGTTTCTTTGGCACACCCATTTACTTAGCATATCCATTTTACTGCTCGTATAGATCTATTTAAATGTTAATAAGCCTCACTCTTCCTAGCACCCAACTCAGACATCCACTGTGCATTTTTCACTGCCAGTGGGTGTCTCAAAAGAAATTAACACATTGACTTAAGATAATACAAAATGAAATGACTGGCTTGGTTGCACTTCGCATTCCATAAAAAGAACACAGAAATCTTTCTTTCGTGCTCAGCATCTTTGCATCCTATCAGTGTTATTTAGCATCCTGGAGCTGTTTAGAAAAAAAGACTGTGCCTGTTGCCTCCTACTCAGATGTAAAGATACTTTGTTGAATTCAATCTCCTTCATCAAATGTCAGCTGCTCTGAGGATTTATTCTTATATGGTTGTGTACTGCATAATGCTTACCAAGCTTTTTGCACAGCTCACCAGTGTTATCACACAGCCATCACAAAATGAGTTGGAATTATATTTCTCATCTCCTAGGCCAATTTGTTGTACTATGTGGGAGAGTTTCTAATCTCAGTTATACCAAAATCAATTATAACATTCTGGATATTTGCCAGCACCAGATCAGATTCT